GATCTCCCTGTGCTATGCGGCTGCTTCCCACTAGCTATCTATTTTACGTTTGGTAGTGTATATATGTCCATGCCACTCTCTCACTTTGTCATAGCCACTTTTGATTCATTTATACCTCCACCCACTTCACTCCATCCCTTTGTTATGTTTGGAAGCCAATCCTAGACGTTTTAATCATTTCATCCATAATACTGAGCTGGAAATGTCTGGACTTTCCGCTAGTAACATCCTTCTCCCAATCTATTCTTTTGCCAGTGACTACTCCACCAGAGTTATATACCCTGATTCCCACCAGTAACCCCAAATCCTTGACTGGTTCAGGGTAAAGATCCAAGACTTTATTGGAGCCTCTGAGTTGACAAAAGGAAAAGCCTGAGCTGATCCAGTGAAAACCCCATCCTGCCTTATATGGAATACTGAACATATTCTTCTGGTCCTTGGCCTTTGTAAAACTGCTAATTTCTTATAAGCTTGTTGAGCCCCTAATGTGTGGACAAAACGGGGGCTACATTCCACATTCCCATGTGCCCTTAGCAACCTTCCCAGAAACCTCAGACAGTATGGGGCTTGCTCTGCAGGCCAAGCTGCCCCAGATTTGCTTCCTGTCACCACCTTGATCTTAACTGGGTGGGGAGCCTGGTCACATCTGAACATCTGGCCTCTCTACCTTCCACCCCTTCAGCGTTTCTCTCTCTCTCTGAAATGTACCAACATCATGCAATTAGTTACTCAACCCAGAACATTATCCTGGACTCCCTCTCCCTTCTAATTCTGCCTATTCGTTTACAGCCATCCACTACTGTCCACCTCCATCATCACCCTTCCATTCCATCCAGGCCACCATTCCCTTCACTCAAGTACGGCAATATTTAAGCACTTTTCTGCCTTTGGCACCCCCCCCCCACCAATTCTCCACGCAGCGGCTGAGTGATCTTCGTGAAACGACCTGCTAAAAACTCTCTCATGGTTCCTAACACCTACGGGATCAAGACCAACTTCCTTATCACTGCTAAGGAGGCCCTGCCTGCTTCTGCTCCATCTCCTCCCTGGCCGACAACCCAAACGCTCTTTTCAGGACCTGGTTTCTCGGGTCTCTGTGCTCTTACCTGGGAAGCGCCTTTTCTCTCGTAAATAGCGAACGCTACAACTACTGCGCCCTCGCTTACATGCGTTATCTCACATGAATCCGCAACAACACTAAGCTATCATCTTCATTTTGCAGACGGACAAATTAAGGATGGGCACCTTACCCATGGTAACACAGCTAGTGAGTGGAAGAGCCGAGACTCGGATTCAGACTCACGGCGCAAGAGGCCACGGGCTTAACCACCGAGTGCCAGCCTGCCCGCACACCCCTCCATCGCTGCAGCGATCGCTTTCAGCGGCGGACCGCGCCGGGCAGCGCCCGTTCGGGGACCAGCAGCTCAGTAGGAGGAACGAGGCTTCGGATTGGCAGCCTCCGGCGACGCCGGGGGAGAGGGAGGGCACAAAGGCGCAGGGGCGTCGCGCAGAAATGACGCAACACCGCGGCTCCTTAAAGGCGCCGGACTCTCGAGCGGCGCACGGCGCAGGCGCGTTCCGGAGGCTCCCGATTTTGCTCGCATCGCTGGGAGCCGGCCCGGGCAGACGGGCGCGAGCGGGCTGTGCAGACGGGGCGTGCACTGGACGCGGGCGGCTCGAGGGGTCCGTTTGGGCGGCGTCCGGAACCCGACCGGCGGGCTGAGGAGCGGGCGCCGCGATGGCCGAGGGCAGCGCAGTGTCAGACCCTCAGCACGCCACGCGCCTACTGCGAGCGCTCAGCTCTTTCCGCGAGGAGTCCCGCTTCTGCGACGCGCACCTGGTCCTCGACGGGGAGGAGATACCGGTACAGAAGAACATCCTGGCGGCTGCCAGCCCGTACATCAGGTGAAGAGGGGGCCGGGCGGGGCCGCGCTGCCCGGAGCCCGGGGGCGGGGCGAGGCGGGCGTGTCCCCGGAGCCCCTGGTCCCCACCCCCCAGCTGCCGGGGTCCCTCTGGTCACCGCTTAGCGCGGTGTCCCTCCCGGCAGACACCCCGGCCGGGCCCCACTCGTAGCCTCCCCGCAGGACAGCTCCTATGGCTTCGGCCGGGCCGGGCCCGTGCCCCCCACAGGACCCCACTCCCCCTGGAGTTGACCCCGGACCTCAGTTCCCCCGCCCTCCCTCCTCGAGTTCCCACCACCCGGCGCTGGCCGGGGCCTCAGAACCCCGGAGGCCCCCAGACGCCGTGCTGGGCCGGACCCGGCCCCGCGACCGCGAGCAGGGCTTGGGCGGCGCCCGGGAAGAGCTGCCTCCTCGCCCCGGCCCAGCCCGCGGATCCCGGGTGAAGTTTGCCGGCCGTTCGCCTCCAAATCGACACATAGTGGGCCGGGCCCAGCGCCGCGAAAGCGGCCAGGGAGCGTCCCTCCCCCGGAGAAGCCAAACAAATACCTCCTCTCCGGGTGTTGGCAGAGGGAAAACCCTGTCGGATCTTTTTCTTAGGATGGACGATCCGACACCCCCTCCCCCCCAGCCCCAAGTTCTTCGCAAAAGTGACTTTCCACCCTTTGTGGGAACTCCTTTTAAAAAGAAGGGTAGTGCGTTATAGACGTTAAAGTAAGCTGTAGCACATTTTAAAAGACTTACTGTAATTCTCAGGATGCTGTTACAGCCCGAGGACCATGAGATTTTAGCGACTTACAGAAAGCATTTAAAACAAAGCTTAACCTGGTTTGCCAGCTCAGCTAACGAGGTGAATTAAAGGTTGATAGGACAGTGCTCATACAAGTGTGTCACATCTTGAGAGGGCTGTTATGTTACAGCAACTTTCTTGCAAACTGGGTTACTCTTTCAATAAAAAAAAAAAAATGCTAGAAGCTGGAGAAACTGCCTAGTAAGCTGGTTAAATATAGACTAAGAGTAGAGAATGTCACTAGAATTGACAGGTCAGAAAAGGCAAAATGATGTGCGCTGCATTCTTAGTGCATTGTCCTAGCAGAACTCGGCACACAAACTGCATTTTAACCTTTGCATTGGCAGACATTTGTGCTAAGTCAGAAGCAGTTCAAGTGCTCTGGTAACTTCTGGCTCCTCCTGGCTCCTCCTGGCTCTCTTAAATCCACTTGCACTCTTTCTTTGTGGATTTAAAGGTGCGGTTGGGGTGAGTTGTCATTAGTGTGGATTTAGATTGCCAACATGACAGATATCTCATAGCTGGCAGTTCAGAGCTTTGAGCAGTCAATATAAAATTGGCATCAGCAAGCCAGCGTCTTCCCTGTATCCAAAGTATTCCCTGTCTGGGGAAATGGTTAGGAAAACTACTTTAGATGTATTAGTGTAGTTCTGTAAGTGACATCCAGCTGGCTTAAAAGAAAATTGCAAATTACCAAATACATGCTCTCTATTCCCTTGCCGTGGTTCATTTTTCTCCATAGCGCTTGCCACTATAACATACCCTATATTTTATTCAGTTACTCTGTGGATCTTCCCCACCCACAGTGTAAGCTCCAAGAGGCCAGGGACTTTCCTTTCGTTCATTACCATATCCCTGGCACACAGAAAGACCAGTGCCTAGTGGTTAGCAGATGGGTTGACGCAGGGACTGCCTTCCTTTATGCCACAGAAGATTGGACGTGAGAGGACCGGCCCTGGTGCGTTTCCATTTCAGATGCTCAGTTGTCCCTGATTGAGAAGAGCCCTGCACCTGCTTTCTGCTCCCAGCTTTCACTCTTCTGCGAGTTGTCCGTAGATGACTTCATCTTGGCTTCAGCTCACTAGTCTGATAAATGAGGGATAAAATGCGTCTTCATCTCATTTAATCTTTGACCCACACTGTGAAGAAGTAGGTAATAGTGCTTTGAGCTGCTCACAGGTCTGCACACAGGTTTCCAAAGGTAGTGGTATCACTGCTATATCTGCTGAATTAGGAAAGGTGGGGCATCCGCTTGTGACATGGTGGCACGTATGAGAATATTTAGTAATGTGAAATGTTATTTAGACTAGCAGTATTTTTTTTCTCTATTTTTAGTTTGTTTTTTTAAGATTTATTTATTATTTATTTATTTATTTATTTATTTTATTCTTGGCTGCATTGGGTCTTAATTGCGACACGCGGGATCTTTGTTGGGGTACGCGGGATCTTTCATTGGGGCACGCGGGATCTTTCATTGCGGCGTGGGCTCTTCGTTGCGGTGTGGGCTCTTCATTGCAGTGCACGGGCTTCTCTCTAGTTGTGGCCTGAGGGTTTTTCTCTCTCTAGTGGCGTGCAGCCTCCAGGGTGCGTGGGCTCTCTAGTTGAGACACGGGAGCTCAGTAGTTGTGGCATGCGGGCTTGGCTGGCATGCGGGCTTGGTTGCCCTGCAGCATGTGGGATCTTAGTTCCCCCGACCAGGGCTCAAACCCGCGTCCCCTGCATTGTAAGGCGGATTCTTTACCTCTGGACCACCAGGGAAGTCCCGCTAGCAGTAATTTAGATGTGAAATATTACTAATCGTAGTAGCAGAGCCAAAAGGGACTTCAGACCCCTCTAATCCAATTCTGTTACTTTCCAGATAAAGAAGTGGTGCTCGGTGGGCATTAGTGATCTGTATTACAGTGAGGTTATTAGCACTTAATGGTTGAACTAGAATTAGACTGCAGGTTAATGACACCTAGTCTCCTACTCGTTTACCATACCAAGCTACAGCATTACTCACATGTAACTATTCTTTGCAAGTCAGTAAGCGGTAGAGTTTACACAATATGTTATGATTTACGTGCTTATTAAGTACTTTCACATGCTGTCTCACTTTGATTTTCATTTTCAACCATCTTGTACAGTAGGCAGGGCAGATATTTTTGACATTTTACAGATAAATATGAATTAGTCAATATGTGTTTTTTCAGTGACTAATTGCTGTAACTTTATTTGACTGTTGAAGTGGTATATTTGTTCTTGGGGTTCTTTTAAAATTATCAATCTCAAGGCTACTTCAAAGTAATGTGACTAATTTGTGTTACTACTTAGAAACAAACTTTAATTTTTGACACCAATGATGTTGGGCTTTTATAACATCTTTGTTTTGTTTGAATGGAACTTAAAGAATTCTATTGAAACAAAATGAGTTTGTATGTTCTAGAACTTGATGTTTCTCACTTTCCCTTTGGAAGCTTAAGCATTTAGGTCTGTGATATCATTAATATAGGGATTGGGAGTTCAAAAGTTTGGTAGTCTCTGAAGTTTTATAAAAATCTGAGTTTTGTTTAATGTCTTCAGTTAGCCTGGTTTTAGTAACTGTCATAGGGGTCTGAAGTTGTGCAGTTTAGAAACAATGTTATATATTGCTTCTGTATCATCAACCAAGGGAACCAATCCAACACTGTTGCACTAGGAATTAAAACAACTCATTTGGCATACTTTCTACTAAATATAGAAGTCTTTTAGCCTTACTGGTTTACTCTTTTCCTGTGCTTTATCTTTGGTTTAACATTTGTTTTTCCTCCGGGTCGTCTTAGCAATCTTACTGCCTTAGAAACACTTTCAGTATAAAAGGAAAAAGCCAGAAAAAACCCAAGTTCGGCCACAAAACCCCAGTGATAACCTGAAAGAAGATTATATAGGGTATGTGTCACGCAGCCTAAGATTCAAATGCTGCAGGGAGGACAGGCAGGAGCTTCCATAGTTCATCACTCACCCCAGTAAGTGGGAAGCTACTTTCCCAGCATGCCCTCTGCCCAGCATTTTCTCATGATCCTGAATGACATTTTTCCTTTGGTTTGTTGGGAAAACAAAATCTAAATGTAGCTGACGACCTTTAAGAATGATGACATTGAATTCATAGCTTATAACAACGACCCACAGCAACCCTTTCCTTCCTCAGCAACCCTGAGACCTTCTGGGAAAGGTTCCCTGAGGCTTATAGGAAATTTCCTTTTCTCTTGAATATTGCAAAGTTTGCTTTGCTTCATGTCTGAGGCTCTTCTCATGCTGGCACAATTCCCTTGATCTGATGTGGAGTTCAGGCTCCTCTCTTTCATGAGCTGTGGTTCTTCGAGGGTAATGTATGTGAAAGGATTTGGCAATGAATTGCCGTGTGATTCTGCAGTGGCATTATAGTGGCTCTGTACAGGTTCCAGTCCCGTATCCACTTTTGGGAATTTTGGTTTTTCTAGGGAATCTGTTGGAACGTGAGTTCGTTTAGCTTTTAGTCCTGGAGAGTAAAGGAAAGAAAGATTCCCAGGATTTTGGGATCCTTTGATGAGTTAGCCAACAATAAGAATGGCAGTTTTTGTCCCTGTTTTTTGAGAGAAAGCTGGTCTAGTGAGGGTGGAGTGGAGGCATTGGGCCTAGAATCCAGCCTGGATCATCTTGGACAACTTTTCTGGGCCTTAGTCTTCTCATCTGTGAAGTGAGGTTGATTGGGCTCCGTGCTGTTTTCGGTCCGCTTGGCGTGTCTGTGTTGTGGGGAGCGAGTCTGTCTCTGTTCTTACGGCTTTACTGTATCATGTAAAGTTTTGTTGCCCATTGATGTTAAGGCCTTTCCTTTGCCCTGTCACACAGGACGTGGTTGGGTATTCTGCTGTATAAATCCAGCCCTGTAGAGTTGTTTTGTAACAAGCATTTATTTTATGCTGTTAATCTGGGTGCTTTCCAAGGCCTAGTTATTGATGAGCCTGTTTTGCCATTTAAATCTAAAATTTGACTCATAGATGATGCTGATGAAACTTCTCAAGGAGATGGATGTGATCTCTGTAGGAGTCCAAGTTTCATGGTGATGCAGAAATTGTTATCATCCTTTCTTTGGGTACTTGAAATCTGCCCTGTATTTTATGAGCAGTAAAGTCCAGTAGTGTTGTCTGCTATGTGCAGAGCAAGCTGTCAGCCCCCAAGTCCCTTTTCTTTCACTTGTGCTCTGAGTTCATAGTCACCTG